GAAGATGCCCCCCTACATGGTCACCTCGTTCGTCTCCATGCCCCCCACGTCATCCTCCCCGCAGGAGCCCCCCGCCACTGCCCCATCCTCCAAGGAGCCCCCAGCTGAGAGCGGGACCCCAGGGGCAAAGGATGGCACAGCACTGCGGCAGGGCATCCCCCAAAAGCCATACACTTTCTTGGATGAGAAGGCAAGGTGAGGAGCGGTGGGATGGGATGCTCTGCTGGGGGGGGTGTGGTGTGTCCCCCAGCACCCCACACTGGGAATGCTGAGCGCCGCCCTGTGCCGCAGGGGTCGTTTCGGGGTGATCCGTTTGTGCAAGGAGAACGCCACGGGGAAGCACTTCATGGCCAAGATCGTGCCCTACGAGGCAGAGAGGAAGCAGAGCGTGCTGCAGGAGTACGAGATCCTCAAGGCGCTGCACCATGAGCGCATCATGGCCCTGCACGAGGCGTACATCACCCCCCGCTACCTGGTGCTCATCTGCGAGAACTGCGCCGGCAAGGAGATCCTCTACAGCATCGTGGACAGGTATGGGTGGGCGCGGGGCTGCCGGCGACGGCCACTGGCATGGGGCTGCCCGCTGATGCCATTTGCCCCCAGGTTTCGCTACTCAGAGGACGACGTGGTGAGCTACGTGCTGCAGCTCCTGCAGGGCCTCGAGTACCTGCACAGCCGCCGCATCGTGCACCTCGACATCAAGCCGGACAACGTCGTCATCTCAGGCATGAATGCCCTCAAGATCATCGATTTTGGCAGCGCCCAGACCTACAACCCCCTCGTGCTGCGGCAGCTGGGGCGGCGCGTTGGCACCCTGGAGTACATGTGTGAGTGGGGATGCGGTGGCATGGGGACGGGGCACGCTTGTGCCCGAGGTGTGCATGTGTGCCCGTGCACTGTGGGGGGCTTGGGCCTGGGGGGGGTATTTGAGATATCCTCGGGGAAGCTGGGGGATCTTTGGGATGCTGGGAGTGTCTACTGAGGGTTTCTGTAGGATTGCTGGCTCAGTGGGAGAGTTTGGGTGCTGTGGGTTCTCCGTCCTCTGTACCGCTGGGGGCAGTTGGGGTATCCTTGGAGGTGCTGGGCTCTGTCAGGGTATTGGGGTGTCAGGGAGGGGTGCTGGAGGGTGCAATGGTGGGGTGCTGTAGCTGCTGTGGGTGCTGGGGATGGTGCAGGTGCTGTGGGTGCTGGTGATGCTGTGGGTGCTGGGGCTGGGCCCCCTGGTGCGTATGACAGCCCTACTCCCCTGCCCGCAGCGCCGGAGGTGGTGAAGGGTGACCCAGTGGGCTCCGCAGCAGATGTCTGGGGTGTTGGCGTCCTCATCTACATCATGTAAGAGAAGGGGCCAGGGGGACGAGCACCCTGAGGTGTACTCAGCCCCACCCAGGGCTCAGTGCCATGGGGGACACCAGGCTGGTGGTGGGCTGGGGGATGCTGTAGCCCTGCAGACCCTTCCCAGCTGGACATGGGGATTGAGACCCTGGGCAGCTGTGGCTGTTCCAAACCAAGTATGTGTGGGTAGGGGGTCCCAGGTGCTCTCCCACCACTGCCCCCCTGCCACCCCCTTTACCCTCACAGGCTCAGCGGGCGGTCACCGTTCTTCGAACTAGACCCCATCGAGACAGAGAACCGCATCCTGGCAGGGCGCTTTGATGCCTTCAAGCTGTACCCCAACGTCTCACAGAGCGCTGCCCTCTTCATCCGCAAGGTTCTTGCCGTCCACCCCTGGTGAGTGCCCAGCCCAGGCAGGGAGGACACGTGGCCCCGGACTGCGCCCATGACCGGGCCAGGCGGGCAGCTCCCTGCCCCACAGGGACCCTCCAGACATCATCAGTGGGACCCTGGGGTCCATCCCTGTTCCTGGAGAGGGCTGGGATCTCCTGAGTCCAGGACCCTGGGGTCCACCCCTGCCCTCGGAGAGGGCTGGGACCCCCTGGGTGTTGTGGGACAGGGATGGTGGCTGGGTTTGGAGGGCTGTAGCAGCGGTAGGCACCCTGCAGCCCCTGATTCGGCACCGCCCCTGCCCCAGGAGCCGCCCCACAGTGAAGGACTGCTTTGCCAACGCCTGGCTCCAGGATGCCTATCTGATGAAGCTGCGCCGCCAGACGCTGACCTTCACCACCAACCGCCTCAAGGAGTTCCTGGTGGAGCACCAGCGGCGCCGCGGCGAGGCTGTCACCAAGCACAAGGTCTTACTCCGCTCCTACCAGGGCGGCCAGCCCCCGGGGCTGCAGTAGCCAGTGCCTCGGCCGCGGCCCCGCAGCGCCGAGGCGGC